CTGCTATGTTTATTTTCCAATTCAAGGATTATTGAAGTTTGATTCTACAAGACCAGTGAGATTTATTTAGCTTAATTTTATTCTCTGCACTTTATTATTTATATATCTCCTATTATATAAGTTTTAATTATTGCTTGATTAATTGTTGCAAGAGGGCCCTTTGTTCAATTGTCAGGGTATTAAATTGCTATTTAGAACTTTGAATCCGTAATTCTTTAAGTGTTCTAAAGCTAGTAGCAAATAACATAGTTGATTATAAATTAGATTTTCAATCTTATGTTATGAAGATATATAGTCTAGCTTAAATGAACCATGCTTTTGAGTTTGTTAGCTAGAATTGGTAATCTTTCTAATTCTTTAATGCTGTTGTTAAATTAAATCCTAAGAGCATGTTTAGGATTATTCATTAGCTAGGGAAGTAATCAAAGAGCTTGTTTTGATTATCGAAAAAGTAAGGAAAGATAGGTTATTAGAACTTGTTAATAACCATAACCAATTTAGTAAAGAGTAAAGTAATTATTTATTGGAAATCAATGATCTGTCTTGTTAGAATTAAATTGATATTATGCCTTGAGTTGGATACTAGTTGCTATTGATTATTTAATATTTCGTATTGTTTGCCTTTTTATTGTTGCTATTTAATTTCCAATTCTCATCTCATTCTTTATTAAATCTTTGATTAAATTTAATCGAACCAATCTCTGTGGGTACGACCTTACTCATCACTATTGCAATTAATAAGAGTAAGTAATTTATTATTTGTTGGATTCGACACCCATCAAATTTTTGGCGTTGTTGCCGGGGATTGGTGTCAAATAGATTATTTTTATGCCACGTTCTTCTCGTACAGGTCAATTGCAATACGATCCTGAGATCGAGAAGACTGCTAAAAGGTTGAGAAAAGAAACTAAATTGCGCAAAAATCAAGCCTTGTCATCAACATCCCTTCAATCAAATACCACAACTGAATCAACTGCCTCTTGTTGCAATCCCAAAGTAGAGCAAGCAATGGCCGAAGAACAAAGGACCTTGCGGGAGTCTCAAGGTAAATTGCCATCACAAACTGTTGTGAACCCAAAGGAAAATGTAAGTGCAATTACATTGAGAGGTGGAAAAGAGTTGTCAGAACCTACTCATGTGAGGAAAATACCCAACCAAGATAAGGAAACTGAAAAAGAAGTCCATCAACCTCAAGATGATCAAAAGCCTATTAGAGAGCATCCAAAGACGATGGTAATTCCTCCGCCTTTTACTAATAGAATGGCTAAGTCCAAGAAGAATGAAGAAGAGAAAGAAATTCTTGAAACCTTTCGAAAGGTTGAGGTAAATATTCCTTTACTTGATGCTATTAAACAAATTCCTCGATATGCTAAATTTCTCAAAGAGTTGTGCACAAATAAAAGAAAGTTGAAAGGTAATGAAATGGTAAGCATGGGGGAAAATGTTTCAGCTATCCTTCAGAAAAAATTACCTCCCAAGTGTAAAGACCCAGGTATGTTTGCTATCCCTTGCAAGATTGGTAATATTAATATTGAAAGAGCAATGTTAGATCTTGGAGCTTCAATTAATGTCATGCCCTTGTTTGTTTATTCATCCCTGAATGTTAGTCCATTAAAAGAAACGGGTATAATTCTTCAACTTGCTGATAGATCTAATGTGTATCCTAGAGGTATTTTGGAAGATATTTTAGTACAAGTGCAAGGTTTAGTTTTTCCTACTGATTTTTATGTAGTTGATATGGAAGAAGATAATAATAATTCTTATGATTCAACACTAATATTGTTGGGAAGGCCATTTCTGAAAACAACTAAATCAAAAATTGATGTGCATGATGGTACATTGACAATGGAGTTTGATGGTGAAATTATAAAATTTGATATATTTAATACTACCATGAAACATTTGAATGGCATATCATCTGTTTTTGCTATGGATATTTTATTGCAGAAAGTTAATTCTCATTTGATTGTTGATGATGAATTGAATGTTGCGCTGAATAGAAGTCCTAACTTTGAGAATGCGTTAGGACGGCGATGGAGTCTAGCCAAAGACGTTAAAGAAAGGCGCTGCTTGGGAGGCAACCCAATGGGAGTTTATTCTATTCTTTCATTTTTATTAATTTTTCTTTTATCTTTACATTTTATTTAACATTGGGGACAATGTTAAGAATAAGTGTGAGGAGGGGATTTAACTATTATTCATTATTTGATTCTTCCCATAAAAAAAATTTACTAATAATTTATTTTTCAAAAATAATAATATTTTTACTAAAATTCATAACATAATTGAATAATTGGTCTTTCATATTATGACTATTTAGTTTAGTATTTTGTTTGATATGGCGGTGGCTAAACTAAGCAAGCATGAACCTGTGAGATTTTTTGAGCCTTTGACTGACACTTCAGTCCAATTATTTTGTTCTTGTGTGATATCTTCCCTAGATTTGTATCTCTAGAACTTGCCTTGATTCTCTTCAAAACTAATTTGATGCATGCATGATTTTAATATGATTAAGGCCATCTTTGATTTTTAGCCTCACTAGCCAAATAGCCTGTTCATACCATGAATGATTTATCCCTTTTTAGCCACTTTGAGCCTTTTTAACTATATTTTTGTTGTTATGAAACCACATTATAAGCCTATGCTTAAAATTAATTTCCTTAAACCTTGCCCAAAGGAATAGGGGAGCTTTGATTGGGTAATTGCATAAAGATTTGAGTGTGGGGAAAAATGTTGACAAAGTATCTATGAGTGAGAATAATGAATTTGTCATTGGACTCCTATGAGTTTTTTTGGTTGGTATTTCAAAAAAAGAAAAGATAAGAGAGTTGATGTAGTTGTTTCAATTTGAGATTGTTTATAAACTAAAGATGGTGAAACGTGTGATGGAAATTGTGATTCTTCAAAAAAAATATACAAAAGAATCAAAAGAAATAAAAAAAAAAAAAAGATGAAAAGAATACGAAAAAGAACAGTATAGAAAAGAGAATGAAAAGAAGAAAGAAAAGAAAAGAGAAAGTGACAGTACAGAAGAGAAAAAGGAAAAAAAGAATTATTATTATTATTATTATTATTATTATTATTATTATTATTATTTTTCATGTTGAATAAACTATGAATAGTTTGTGATCTTATGGGATGTGATGGTTTATTTGGTTAGAATTGAACTATCAAAATAACAAGAGAGATTTGAATGAATTGAGCTTTTATTTAACTTGGTTATGTTCATTTAATCTTTGCTCCTCTAGTTTTGAAGGCTTTTTTGAACTACTTTTCTAAATAATTCCTACCCTTTGCCCTAAGCCTCATTACAACCTTGACAAAGTCCTTATGATTTGATCGTGCATGTTATCTTGTAGTAGAGAATGAGAAGATATGCAAGCCTATGGTAGAGCATTTCTATAGGAATTGATTTGAGTGAAATTTATACACACACCCTTCAAACACTTGTGCGTTATGAGTGATATTCCCGTGAGGGCTTGATTATTTAGTTCACTCTATTTTCAAATAAATTGCTAGCTAGTTATTTATAATGTGTTTGTGATCAATGTTCATGAAGTGTTATGAGTTTTTATATATTTATGTTTTCTTAAATAATGTTTTTGCTTGAGGACAAGCAAATGATTAGTGTGGGGTTTGATAAGTACTATTTTTATATTTAATTAGATTAGTTTTTATAATAAATTAGATTTATTTATTTTACATTATATTTATTTTGTGTTTTATTTTATATTTTTGTAATAATATAATAATTATTTAAATAATTTTATTTTGGGCCTTTAGGAATATACATAAGAAATGGGCTCTTTACTAACTTAATTTAATTTGATCCATTGTAGTCTATTTGTTAATTTTATTGATTAAAGCCCATGATGAAATTAAAAACAATTTTATGTTTGTTTTCCTTTTACGTGAGATTGCCGCATGGACCATAGCAGCAGAAAGAAATCAAAACGGCAACTCCGTAGGCTGCTGCGATGAAGACGAACTGCGCGCATTCCGTCCGTGAACTAACGTCGACTCCTTCTGTGGCTGCTATGTACGGACGAAATTAATTGAAGTAGAGAGTATTTGGAGCATGCCTTGCTAATTTTCCATGGTTAGAAAAAAATAAAGTTTATTTATTTTTTAGGTTTTATGTGGTTCAAGAAATTGATTTAGTTTGTGGATGTTAGAGAAATTAGGGTTATGTTGAGTTGATTAGGGAGCCTGAACTAGTATAAATAGGGATGGATTTTTCAGTATAGTCAATCAGTTTTCTCAGAATAATTTTATTTTACTGTAAACACTCCCTGTAATGTTCTGCTATGTTTATTTTCAAATTCAAGGATTATTGAAGTTTGATTCTACAAGACCAGTGAGATTTATTTAGCTTAATTTTATTCTCTGCACTTTATTATTTATATATCTCCTATTATATAAGTTTTAATTATTGCTTGATTAATTGTTGCAAGAGGGCCCTTTGTTCAATTGTCAAGGTATTAAATTGCTATTTAGAACTTTGAATCCGTAATTGTTTAAGTGTTCTAAAGCTAGTAGCAAATAACATAGTTGATTATAAATTAGATTTTCAATCTTATGTTATGAAGATATATAGTCTAGCTTAAATGAACCATGCTTTTGAGTTTGTTGGCTAGAATTGGTAATCTTTCTAATTCTTTAATGCTGTTGGTAAATTAAATCCTAAGAGCATGTTTAGGATTCTTCATTAGCTAGGGAAGTAATCAAAGAGCTTGTTTTGATTATCGAAAAAGTAAGGAAAGATAGGTTATTAGAACTTGTTAATAACCATAACCAATTTAGTAAAGAGTAAAGTAATTATTTATTGGAAAGCAATGATCTGTCTTGTTAGAATTAAATTGATATTATGCCTTGAGTTGGATACTAGTTGCTATTGATTATTTAATATTTCGTATTGTTTGCCTTTTTATTGTTGCTATTTAATTTCCAATTCTCATCTCATTCTTTATTAAATCTTTGATTAAATTTAATCGAACCAATCTCTGTGGGTACGACCTTACTCATCACTATTGCAATTAATAAGAGTAAGTAATTTATTATTTGTTGGATTCGACACCAATCAACTATACGCATAGTATTGTATTCATGAGCCGATATTAAGTAAAAAATAAAAGCATTTTAAACTATTTTGTCACGTACATTAAGAGTGAATCCAACGCACCCTAAAGCCATAAGGCGATTTACATATAAAATTGTGATGCATAGGCAAATTAACCACCTCACCCCTATAAATCCTCCCCCACCACACACCCATACGGTGGGGTTGAGTGTTCAAGTGATAAGACTAATCGTTGTCAGCAATTTAGCTATTTCCCATAAAGGAAATCGTTTCAAAATTGAATTGTCATTCAAAAAGGAAATCTTGGAAAATGTAATTTTTTTTGATATCATCTCACATTATAAATTATTATCAACACGCACATTGTAGTGTTTAATCGCGCATATTACAGTGGGAATTAAATCACATTAAAAATTGTTGGACACCGTCACTATTCAATTACCAGTCGTATGTGCAATGTAGGTGACAAGACTAATTGTCGTCAGTAATTTACCTATTTCCCATAAAGGGAATCTTTCAACATTGAATTGTCATTCATGACTATTAACTATGCATGTGTAGTTGGCGAAACGAACAGTATTTTGTAGTGGTCATTTAATGCTTTAAACGACTAAAAAAACGGACATCATTTTTTTTATTTGGTAATAAAAAAAAACGTATATATTATATTAAGTATTGATTGATAAATCTAAGGCATTCGTATTTCACGCACGCAGTACTAGTATTTGGCGCACTTTATAAATCAATCTGAAGCACATGAAATTTGTGAACTCCATTTTCATTTCAATGTTTATGAAATGTCAAAATTAAATGTGTCAAGTCAGGGAATGTGAACAAGTATTTCGCCTATAAAAAGGAAGGAACACCCAACGACCGAGTATCAAGGGTTTTCTTTATATTTTTATATGTTGAAATGGCATCAATTGAGTTACCCACTCCATCTCAACAACAAGCATCATTTCTTCCTCGCCGTGTTCTTCTTGTTGTTCATAATATTTACCCTCATGTTCTTCATACTCGCCCCCCTTCTTCTAGTTGTGATTGTAATTAGTTCCAAAAACAACACATTCTAAACCTGAGAATAAACATCCCCTTAATGAAATACAACACCACAATACTTCAGCCCTCCCCAGATACCCCCATCTTTCCCCACTTCCCTCGGAGCGGGAAGTTAGCATACCCTCCCCACTCACCGTCATCTTTCCCCACACTGAGCAAGAAGCTGCTATGGTAGGAGGGGCAAAGTATATAGAAGCAAAGCTGCCATTTGAAACCCCATCCTCCGTAATTACTGCAATGCTTCGAGTGGTTACTGCACTGCTATGCTTCGACATCCTTTGAGTAGAGCTCGGGGGTGATAGCCGGGGGTGACAATGCGGTTATCAACTAAGATGACACAGTTTGAACCTGATAATGTTCTTTTATGGGTCTAAACCGTTGTCAATCCCGATCTTGTGGGTCTCCACTAGGTTCCACGTAACTGATGGAGCAATTTAACACTTCTGGATTAGTTGGGGTTTACATTCATTGAACTCAATCTTCTCAATTTTAGAATGTGTTGTTTTAGCCCAGACATACGGCAGGATCCTCTACTCCTCATGGAGATATATCCTTTGGTACCTTAATGCAGGCTTAACCAAAAGAAATATCTCCAAAAGGTGTAGACGGATCCTGTCGTTTGTATGGGGTTCTTAATCAATAAAATAAGCTATCATCGGCCCTTTGATTTGAATTGTTGTGTTGGTTGGTGTTGATTTATATCGCTAGGGGGATGTTGTTTATTATTATTTTCATTATGTTAGTGGTAGTAGCAAATCAATGTATAAATTACTTCAATGTAAATAATAAATCTTTGTTTGGCTGTTATATATTTTTTTTGTTTATTTACTTGATAGTCATTAAATAAACAAACAAAAATCAAACGTGCATTATTATTGTTATATTATTATTATTATTATTATTATTATTATTATTATCCACACAGTAGGAGTAATACCTTTTTCTAACGTGAGTGGTGCAAAATCCGTAATATGCGTTGATTTGGTCTTTTAAATGCATGCAATAAGAATACACAATGTTGCATACGTAAATTATTAAACGTCAAAATATTACTGTTCGCATATTAAGAACTAACTTAATGCATATTCGTTAAAAATATTACAACTGTATAATGAAGCATTCACAAGCACACGACACATATGTTAATGTGGCTGGAGACGCACATTAAGTTAGTCTATAAAACACATTAAGGCCATAATGTGCGTTTCACACGCTTTTTAATTTGTGATCAGTTGAAAGGTTACATATGTTTTTGGATACAATAAGTAGATAGATGAGTTGAATGGTGGAATGGTAGAAGTCTTTGTGCTTATTGACTCCAACCAGGATCGAACCTTTCCCCACCACAAAACTTTAATTTTTTTTATTCAAATAAAGAAATTCAGAGTATTACTAATCAATAAGGCAAATTGTCTTTGATCGTTTGTTCGCACACTAAGACCTGAACTTACGCATACTAAATTATTTCTGTGCGCATGTTAGAGATGAAAATCACGCACGCTTGTTAAAGTATTGGCGTAGCATCAATGGTGTGTGTATTCACGCATGTTAATACATTTGGTCACGCACATTAAGTTTTTTCATAGACAGACATTATAATATAGTGTTAAAAATCACTCGCGCACGTTGAAATATTAACATACGCATTTTAAATAACTTTTTGGTGCACATATTATGATTTTTGGAAGGATAATATTTGATTATATCAATAACTGTATACAACACCACTTATAGGTAAATTAAAGATGGAAAGAATATTTTTTTTTTTATTTTATGAAACGGTTAACACTGAATTTGTCAAATTACTCAATTTAACCTAGTTATTCGCCTATAAAAGGGGAGGAACACTCATCAATACAACATAAGTTGTAATGGCATCGATTGAGTCTTTCACACCATTACCACAACCACCATCAGTTCGTCATCGTCGTATTATTTACATTCTTTACCATGTATACCCTCCTCATCATACTCGCCCTCCTTCTCCTTTTGTTGTCGTTGTAATTTACTTCAATAACAACACATTCTAAACCTGAAATCAAACATCCCTTGATGCAAACTTCAAACCTGAGATTGTTGGAAGTTTGGGATGTTCTCTGCCACAGATTCCACGGCTTCCAGTTTGATAGACGTGGTCTCCCCGCCCATTCAAAGCAGACCCACAGAATGGTCAAGAGATGCATTATGGGTGCTGCTAAAGTGGGTATATAGGTCTTTGGAAAACCCAAGAAACTTACAAGCTCGCAGTGTTGAGATTTTTGAGAAATTTGGGATATTATCCGCAATGGCTTGCAGTTTAATGGAGGTAGTCTTTCGCTCATTCGAAGCAGATCCACAGAACGGTCAAGAATGCATTTTAAGTTTAATGGAAATTTGTGCTATTTGCACATTTTAAGCTTTAATGTCACGTATGTTAGATGTTGTCTAACGCATGTAACATCTATTGGCTTTAATCATTGACTAAAGTTTTATTATTCTAGCCAACGCGCATACGGTTGATTTGTTACGCATATTAAGGCTTAATGTACTGCCCCTTAAATATATATATATATATATATATATATATATATATATATATATATATATATATATATATATATATATATATATATATATATATATATATATGTATTGTTTTTTAATTTGTGGTATACAAGCGCATTATAATATACGCATATTATATTAAAGGCACATATTATACAATATGACGCAAATAAAGATTTTACTATAGGCATATTACGTTCCCTTTTTAACGCACATAAGGTTTAATGCTGCGTAATTTAAATGGTTTATCAACGCATTTTTTAAGCATCGTGATAATCACCAATTTCACCATAATAAACTCCACATTATATAAAACATTAAACAGTGGACAATTATTAAACATCGTGACAGAATCTATATTGATTTGAGATGAGAAGGTGTTGATATTCCTGGCTTTATGAACGGGTGTATGTTACCTGTTCTAAAATTACATATGGTGCTATATTCAAAAAAAAAAGAATTTAAAAAAAATTACATATGGTTCTGACAACGACATAGACCTATGTCTTACCTTTAAAATAAGTGACAAGTCTATTTCTTTGTCAACAATTTTTTCATTTCCAATAAAGGAAGTCTGTTAAAGTTGAATGGTCATTCAACTTATAAAAAAACGCACCCATTGAAGCTTTTTTTTTTATTGGGTCTAATTCTGTGAGTATACAATCTCATGCACACTAAGAATGAAAGACTGGCATAATAACACACATTGTGATATCAATAGACGCATTTTAAATTATTTTGCTCTATATAATAAGTCATACATTCAATCATACGCATGTTAAGTGTAGATGTAACGCATATTAGGGAAATAAGTCCCGTTAAGGCCATAATGTGCGTTACAATCACGCTTTTTAATTTGTGAGCTGTTGAAAGGTTATATATATTTTTGGAATACAAAGAATAAATGGATGAGCTCACTGGCAAAATGGTAGAAGTTGTTGAACACATCTACTCCGCCCAAGATTGAATCCCCTCCCAAAAGACTTAAAATTTTTTCTTCGAATAGACAACTTCAGAGTATTAACTGTCAAGGCAAATTTATCGTTTGTTCGCACACTAAGATCTGACTATACGCATGGCAAATTTATCGTTTATTCGCACACTAAGATCTGACTATACGCATGCTAAATTATTCCTGTGCGCACGTTGGAGACGAAAATCACGCACATTTGTTAAAGTATTAGCGAATGGTCATTGGTGTGTTTATTTACGCATGCCAATGCATCTGGATACGCACATTAAGTTTGTTCGCACACTAACATTTATATACACGCATTCTAAAGTATTGTTTAGCGTATATTAGAGATTAAAATTCACGCAAATTAGTTACGCATGTTAATACAGTCGGTTACGCACATTAAGTTTCACATAGACGGGCGTTATAATATAGTGTTAATTAAAAATGGAAAAAA